ATTCTCGTTTCTGAGACACAGCACACATCAATGCCAAGCGAGTCCAGTGTGAGTGCAAGAGCAGCTTGTTGTCCTGCTTGCTTCAGAGTGCGAACATTGAACGCGGCCAGATAGACTGGGTGTCGAGGCTTGAGGACTGATCTGGAGATTCCTGAAGATGTCGGCACCATGTGACGAGCAGACGCTGCACGCAAAACCGATGCATGACGAACGGAGTCATCAGTCCTAAGTGCTGGGCCTACAAGGAGAGAGTTATTAATGGGGTGGGCAGAGGGGGAAGAAAAAGTATGTGAAGGAGAAAGAAGGGAGGCGTCAGCAGTAGCCTGTTTTCGCTTACCCGCCCTGCTGTATGCAGCAGGTAAGGCGACCCGGCTGATGGCACCACGGGACGGCCGATGTGGCATGAGAATATCGTTAGTTGTGTAGGTCATGGTTGTAGGTCATGGTTTTATACGGAAGCGTCCAAAATGTGAAAAGTAGATCATCATAAAGTTCAAGATGATAACTTTTCACCACCGAGTTTTCCAATGAGTTCGCAAAGTTCCACCAAAAGTGTAGTCGCTTTAGAGGAGGAGCATTTCAACTCTATGCAGCTAACGGAATTTAGTTTTACCTAATGTGATTGTATTTCCGAAACAATTTGTTTTTTTTCCACTAGGTTAGGTAGGAGCAATGCGCTAGTTTCTTATAAGCAGCTCCATCCGTGGTTTGGTTCTCCGATCAAGCATTTGTGTATTGAAAGCTTTACTGAACTTCAGTAGTTTTTCGCCTTGCCTTGGAGCTGTCATTCTATTTCATACAATACACTTTTGGCAACCGTGAATCCGTCTTCATCTGACTTAGTGTGTTTTCGTACCTGGCAAATGGTCTGCAGTCTCGGTGATGCCTTATTAAGGCCACCGTTTTTATTGGGTGGCCGGCCAACTTTTATGAAATATACATCCTTTTTTCTTACATTTCCACCTACTACTGTGTAGATTGACATGCTGCGCAACGATAACGTGTTGCGAACCCGAGAGTTTGTTAGTTTGCAAGCTACACTGCTTGAAGCTGAACATCAATTGGAACAGGCCAGTGAACAGGAGCGTCAGTTGACATCCCTAAGACAAGCATATCTCTCATTAGAAAAGCGTTTGGAGCACGCAGTCAGAACAGTTCCATCTGAGAATCGTCCATATTGGGATTGTAATGGATTCTCTTCTGTGGATAGAACCGAATTCCCAGGATCACCAGTGCATCCAGAAGAGTCGATCTACGCGGGACAGAGGAACAAGAGCATTGTACTACAGGGAGACAGTCCCAAACAAGTGATAGACGCTGTGACCATAGTTTTTTGCATGATCTGTGTTGTGCCACATGCTTTGTCTGAATATGTAGCATGTCTTCCTGTCAGCATGTTCTCATCTCCATAAGTTGTCCTTCGTAAGAGTACATCCCTTCATCTTGGCCCTTTGAGATGTGGCTTGAGACTAAGATATTTTGGATGCTCATCCCCACATGTATAACAAGTACGTCTCTTAATAAAGAACAGGGTGCGTATACCGGGTTTCGATGTCTCCCAGTGCCAGGCATTTAACCATTAGCATGAAAACAAGTGCTTTAGGGTCCTATAGTACAATTTCTCCATGTGACAACCGTTACAGTTCACTTTCTATAAAGGCTACACCCTACATGGTCAAGCATCCTAAATCAGAACACCATAACTATGTTTAGAACCCTGAAGCACGCCTGAAATCCTATGGATGGGTCATGATAGTATTATAGAACAGTTTGTTCTCAGGGTATGCGCGTCGACCCTACTGCTTGTAACCAGCTATGATCTAGTCAAATCAAACGTTGGATTATTGCCGTGCCAGAATGTTAAACTTTTACTCTGGTGGAATTGTACATTTAAACAATTTATGGCTTTTATCGCATGAGGGAGTGGAAATATTCACAATAGGATCGCTTGTTGGTACCATCGTAATTGGCGTTTGGGAGTTCGTGACCTCCTGAAAGAGTTAACCGTTACCATGGATTATATAGTCTGTCTTTATGTTGCGACTGTTATCAAGGTGAACCAAAATGCTGCGCCAATGGCTTTACTGTTTGATTGTGTTATAAAAATTGGAGTTACGTACACGTGTTTTCCTTTGTACGATCGGAGGTGTTCCCTGCCTCCATCTGAGTGATACCGTCCGAGCCTACTGGGGTGAGTCGACAGTGGTGTTCATTTACATATATTCGCCGTACGACATTCACGAAGGAATTGGCTCCCCCTTTTATGACCAGGCTCGTTGCGTCCTTTACTTCACGCCCGTTACGGGAGCGCATGAGGATGTGACTGGAGAACGACAACCACGATTTTGGCCTTTTGGGTCACATCTTCACACTCCCTCATGCGCTAGAGCAACAGTATGCAACAGTATAGGTGCCCTACAACATTGGTGTCCCGTGATGTCAAGACTGCGTTCGATTCTGTCGACTAGTTAGTCCTTTTCAACACGCTCGCGCATCAGGGTATGCCACAGAAGTTCATAAATATCACGCTGCGTTTGTATTTGCATACTTGTATGTGCATGAGAATGTGTGCAGGGTACTCCGGAACTGTGTCTACAAGGAGTGATGTCGGACAGCGGGGTCCAATCTCTCCATTTTTGTTCAGTTTCGTTATGGATTAGTTAATGAGGCGAACATTGGAGAATCTCGGTGTTGAGATTCTTCCGAGCAAGAACCTTGCCGACCTGGAATATATTATTTTTGGAGAGGAGTAAAGCACGCGTATTCTTTTCGCGTGTTGTCGATGATGATGACGTCCCCCTGGATTCTCTCAACAAGGGCCACTCGGGCCGTTTCCCGTTGGTGGCCTATACTCGGGAGAATTGCGTATTTCGCCTGCTGCGTGATATACTGAAACTAAGCTTAGTTTATGGCGGACAACAGACGTTTGCACGTTTCTCCCCTTTTCCACATTTGTGTTTCTCTTCGGTCCCTTGATTGTTGTGTCTGACTCCAGGAAAACAGTGTTGTTGCTGTCGTCGCAACTCCATTCTGATGTTCACTTGCACTTATTTTTCAGATCGCACCAGTCAAGCACTTACTTGTTCAGCTTGAAGCCACGCAACAGAAGCTAGATGCTCAAATCGAACAATCAAATGAACTCGAGGCGCTGCTGGCAGATCGCGAATCCCGTGTTGTTACCCAAGGCCACGAACTGAATGAAGCAGAATCCCAGTTGAGCGCATCTGCCCATTTAATCAACCAACTGCACGAACGTTTGTCAGCCAACCATCACTATCTGAACCAGTTGTTACAACAGTTTAATCCGACGTCTTCTCCGAATAATGCGGAGCAACTTCCAGCTGTACCTGCAGTGCTTGAGTTAGCTAGCAACTTAGATGCAGTATACGCGGAACTACAAGACTCTGAGCGTCTTAGGTTGATTGCGGAACGTCGGGCATCTAGCGCCACAACAACCGCTCGTCAGTTGCGCACACGTCTTCGCCACATCGTTAACGAGTTAGAAAGTGATTCGTTGGATAGTGTGCACGCCGCAGTTTCTCGTTCAGTTTGTGCAGCATCCACACAAACCCTTCCTACTCTAGGGGTCGCTCGAGCAGTACAAACGGTGCCCTCTAACGGAGCCGATTTCAATAAATTGAGGGCGGAGACAGACTCCAACACGAATGCGTCACTGGAAACGGTACGTCTAACTGGTTCATGTGGAAAGAATTTCGGTACGCCCGGTTGTATAGGTGGCTTTTCCCTGCTTCCCCAGTTGGACGATTTAACTAAAAAATCGATCGTACACAATACAAGTTAAGTGATATAAATTGTAGCTAAATGGGCATTAGTTCGTGAAACATTTTGGTGTCAAGTCTATTAAGAGTGGATCGCACATCTGAGTGATCGGTTCATTGTGCCGTCCTAGAGCCCACCGTTGACTCCAGCTGTATACTTGCTGCCACCTGGAGGAAGTTTGCCTCTTTAACATGAGGACAGACCAGAGTCTAGAGCTTTGATTAGGCTCGACGGTGAGTATGTAAGCACCGCCTGATCCGTTCTGAAGGACTTGACTTACTGGTTTAATTGGACTGTCTTAGAGTGGTCTGACAGCCTATTTCCATCTAAGTGGTTGAGCAATAAATATTCTGCTCAGCTATGAACCAATATGATCCATTATCACAGTCTATGGAAGCATAAATTTTACTTTTGAATTAACTGTTATGAAATATCCGTCCTTTTTGACAAGTGTGCTTCTTGTTTGATGTAGTAGTGGTAGAAAAATTTGCGGTCTTTTACACCAGTCACGCCTTAGGATGATCATGGGAGCAATACATTAGTGGTTAACCGTTGGGCCGGCGCGCGGTATACCGGGCCCAACGATGTGGAGTAATGGTGTCCTAGCATTACTGACGATTTTTAGCTGTCTTCTACTCTATTTTCCGGTCGACCATGTTCACTGGCGTGACCTCTCGGAAGTCGGTTTTATTGTTCTTCGGACAAGGCAAACACCCTCTGGCTCCAGACCTTCACTTTCTGGTAATTAGATGTGAGGCAATCCCGTATTGTTAATTGGCCGTTATTTGGACGTAAAAGCCCAAATGGTGCTCACGATACCATTCGATCTATGTGTAACGGGCTGTACTGTTTGCCCTGAGCATACTACAATTTCTCTTTACTCCAGATCCTAACATACGCATTTTCGCGACCATCCGAGGTGATGGCTACCCTAACGACAAAAGAACAGACAACTCCGGAACAGGTCATCCAACTCAAAGAGGCCCTAAGAAATGCAATTATCCAAGTGGAGCGTCTGAACAAATACCGTTTGGCACAAAAAAGCAAACTTGAACAGATGCAGCAGAGATTCATTCAGTTGAATTCCGAACTCGATGCTACTGTGGACGCTCTCCGATATCATCAGACGAGTTCCGAGGATGAGCGACGTCGCACAGCCTCAGAGTTATCTGGACTGCGGATGCAGCTGGCCAAAGCCAATGCTTTACTAACTCAGCAGAGAGCCCGCAATGCCAAAATGACGTCAAGTCCTTTCAGCATGACTGACTCTGTGCAGGCTAGCAGAGGTGAACTTTCCTTACTATGTGCAGTTGCCTTCCCTAATGCATATTCACAGTTTTGTACAGCCAAGGACCCACTATCAGCGCTGTGAATTTTCCGACTGTATTCACGGTTTTTTTACTGCTTCACGTTTTACGGGTTTGCCGAGCCACCACTTAGGCTATTGATCATCGAGAGAGCCATCCTTTATTCACTCTAGTGGTATACGAACCTGTCAGTTGACTTGTGCATTCAAGCGACTATTCGCGACACAGCTTGAAGCATCTAGGATATCAGTGTACACTATTCACTGAGAAGAGGAAGCAACCCACTTTGGACTTATGATCCGTTGTTTTCAGTTTCACTACAACACGGACCACCTGTTTGTTTCGGTGGACTGCTTCCTACCATTGCGGTGCACCTCACTAACAGCCAGTAAAGCCACTGTTTGTGTCCGTCCTGGTATTTCCTACGCACACTTCATGATAAATCGCCTCGCGTGCCAGCTTTTTGTTCTGGGCAGTACAATTATTCGACTGTCAGCACTTGGTATTTATCAGCCCGTGAATTTGAACTCCTTAACTTGTTTGATGTTGCTGTCTTTGGTGATGATGAGCTTGTTTTTACAAAGTACTTTACGAACGCTGGGTGTCAAAGCGCTAACGGCAACTGTTTCCAGAATGCAGTTCGCCCAATGCCTATTTTGTTCATTTGTGGAGATTACAAACCTCCGTTTCGGCTCATTAAAAGCGCATTTTGTCCAGCAGCCTTCAAGATTTATGACGATAAGTCAAATAGTCCTGTTTTATTTGTCGTTTCCTTCACAGCCTCAAGCATGAGCCCCGTCGCAAACCGTGCATTTGTTCCAGGAAAAGAAGTTATGTCATCATCGGAAGATATCGAACTTCAGTTGACAATGGCCCAAAGTGAGCTGTCACAACTTCGTGCTGATATGACACGACAAAAAACGGACAGTGACCGTGAAGCCACAAAACTGCGGGGCCAGTTGGCCGAGGCAGCCGCGGATATACGCACTCTACGTCTGCAATTAACGCGCATCCAAACTGCTGCTAGCGTTGCTCACAGGAACGCTGGAAACGACCAGGCTGCAATCATGGAAGTTGCATGCTCAAATTGCCAGCGATTACAAAGACTCCTGGATATCATTCAGAGGAAAGCCAACGACAACTCAGCAATGAGTAACTCTGTGGAACAATCACTACACTCAGCAAAACTGACCGGAAAGTCCAGCGAATCTAACGCAGTAATCCCTATAGGAAGTCTTGATTATGAGCAACATCCCAACGAGGGACAGCAACAACGGGATGTGTTGATGACACAGAAAGAGAATGTTCACTCCAGCTTTGAATCCATCTCTTTCGAGCTACATAACACACGCCATCAGCTCGTTCAAACTGAGAAGCAAATCGAGGAGTTGTGTACACGTCACCATGAGGAGGTGATTCACCTCCAAGAGGAAAAGTTACGCATAGTCCAGGAGAGGGAGTTTCTTCAGGAAGAACGTCGTCGTCTTCTGGAACATGAGGAGGACGTTTTCCGGAAAGAAAGGGAAATGGAGGCGTTGATTCTGATAGCCTCGAGGAACAAACACTTGTTTAAAGACTCACTGCAGGCACAGCTAATTGAGGCTGGGACTACTGCTCACTCAGCCAATCAGCACTTTCCTGATTCACCTGAACCTGAGAACACAAATAACAGTCTTGTCGGTGACCCGCGCAACATTTGCTCGATTGTGACACACAGTAAGGCTGTTCAGACAGATGTGTATGAACGACTCTCAGGTAAGTTGAGCAATACGTGTGTCCTCAAAATGACATTACCTATTGGCGATTCTGACCGGATTACTTCCGACCATTTCCGTCAGGCTTTGGTTCATTCCACAACAAAGAAGTATCGAATTTTTATCTCGAATCGGAATTCTTAGGTGAATATGGCAATATTAACTGAAATCTAGTCAAATCCTATGAGCTGTTTTGCCGCCTACTGACACAGACGAAATTGTTGAAAGGGGCGAGATGGCCCAAGTGGTTAGAGCGCGAATTTACTGACCGGAAGGTTCGTGGTTCGAATCCGACCTCCGCCACTCGACTTCCCCTGTCTAGGCTTGGGCAACCTGGCAGTATCCCAGCCCTCGTGCTTCCTTCGGGTGGCATGGCAGCTAGGCACCAGAAGGGTGCTACAGCTGGACGCTTTCTTTCTTTATTCAAGACACCAGGCAATCGTACGCAGAATGTCCGCTTTCGGAGGCAAAGTGGATGCTGTCTGCGCAACTGTCATAGATCAAAGTATCATCTACAGTCAAACAAAGTATCCTGATAGCTGACTCAGGCAACACGGGTGCGGCCAAACTCTGGTACTATGCCAGGGAGATAGGATCTTGCATGCTCCGCGCGTAGCAGTTCGGCTGAAAATATGGTGGTTGGTTGCACACTGTTTTTCCATCCGAGTGTAAGTATCATGGCGTTTGTTTTCGAAAAGAGGACGTCGACCCAGAAAGTAGTCAGTTACTGGCATGTTCAGCCCAGCTTGGTCCGTGTGTTTAATTGGCTATGATACATATATGTTACACACAGATTTGGTTTGTTGGTCATGCCATAGATTCATAGATTCATTCATAGATTCCGTTTGAACATTCAGTGGTTCGATGCAATTTCTTTTGACTTATTCTACTAATAAGCCACTAATTAAGTTCACTCGAAGCGAAATTTAAGGCATGCTGGTATTCAGCAATTTGTGTTTCACCTGGAGATGCTACACGCGGCAAATTTGAGCGGATACGGAAATTCCCCATTCTGGAAAAGAATCAGTTTCGAAGGTAGTAGGTGGTCCATCTTGCAACAACTACGCTCATCGAATGTCGCTGGGCCTTAGAACGTACTAGAAAAATAAACAGATAAGCATACTCACAAGGTTGCTGGAAACCTTCTGACGGCCCGTGACCAGTTTCGCCCATCCTGGGGCTCGTTTGGTAGCTGCTTGTCCCCTTTTCGCACAACTAGGCGAAGGATGGAGACGAGCCAGGGGTGATCAAACAGTGACTGAACAACGAATTGTGAAAGTCATTACCAGCGAACGCGACTGTGCTGGTCATTGCCCTCTTCCTAGATGAGGGACCGAGACGGGACACATCAGGCATGGCCCAGCCGCGCCCTCAGTGGCGCTCATGCATCCAAGCTGTTGCCTTCAATGCATGGCTCCCCAGATCTCCCCAGTGAGAATTCCGTATCACCTACCGCCTCCACTGCGCAGCTATCTAGATCCTCCCTCCAGATCATCGACGAACAAAATTATGGCAGCTAGAACCACTGTCAGGCAAGCACGCAGTTCCTACAGCTGATGATGATGATGATGGTTAGGATGATCCTGTCTCTGGGTCTCCGTGAGCCGTATCTCCTACTTCAACCCAAATTGAACGATATTTTCCAAATGCCAATTTGGTTTTCACAGGAGACCTGAATCCAAACTGAATCTCTCCTTTATGATATTCTTCAACCGAATTTGTTGCACAAAGGCAACTTCATGTTTCAATCGGTACGATATTTGGGGTATCGCAGTATATTTTCATAAGGGAAGCTACTCACAAGTTTTCTGAAAACTCATTGACAGCCCACGACAGGTTTCATCCTTCTTGGGGCTCATCAGGGAGGCACAGTCCATCAGTCTCGGTCACGTGCAATTCAGTTGACTCTTTTGTGACAACCAAAGTAGTGTGCAAATGAGTGTGTTTTGCGAGTAAGCGAGTAGCGCTCAGCTCATGCTTTTGAATAAACATGCTCGCATACCTGCGGAAAATCGCTATATTTACCATTGGTTCAACAGTATCGACCCGTTTGGCCTGACGGGTACATAATTCAGCGGCTAGTCTGAGACTGCTCACATTGACTACTCACTGAAAACAACCCTACTTTGATGCTGTTGAGGCGGCCTATCAGATCGGTTGTTTAATTCGTCTGACTTGGAAGGTAACATGCCACGGGAACCGGAACATACGAGGTTGGAAAGTTGTTTCTAAGGCACCCTGGTGAACTGCTTGCTTGTAAAGCCAGACGGCAGGATACTGAAACGTGCGACCTTTGAACCCACACTTAAAATTCATGGTGTTGGCTATCTCACCTAGGAATTGTACATACAACCGTGATTAACCATAGGACTGCCAATAGTAATTCATCGAGTTCTAATGGCTTTCACACTGTCGACTCCCTTCTTCTGGGAAGGTAACAATATTGCATAAATGTGTCACCCTTTCCAGCACTTGAGGGGTCCTCTCACCGTACAATCAGTCATTGCGAACATGACTGACCTGAGGCATTTCGAAAGGGGTGTACCACTGTAACTGCATCTTACTTTTTGGAGCTACGGATACGTTTCTATAAGAGGCATATATGTTGAAGTATAAAATCCTTGGGGCCAGAGATTGTCGGTACAAATATTATTATTTCTATGGAAGCAAGATAACCATATGTGTACAAAACACTCTTGAACCTAATACCGAGCTGTCCTTCAGCGCGTCTTTTCACTGCTACTCCCACTTACATATACAACTCCGCTTTTTCTCCTACGGGGTTTTCCAGATTCGAATAACATTACTGGATTGGGATCATTCCAACTTATCGGGGAATCCTTTGAGGAATTAGAATTTAATGCGATTTCCGGTGCTCAGAATCTCATTAGTGAGCGGTTGCGTTCGCGGTACAATTCTTTGCAAGATATGGCTGAAGAACTACTCGTTTTGCGATCTCGACTTTACGACGAGCAACAAGCTTTGGAGAAGGCGAAGTTGGAGTTTCGTAAAATGCAAGAGGTACAATCGACTATACAGGAAAGGACTGCTAATTTCACAGCATCAGAAAGCTCTACGCATATGGACAAAAGTGTTCCTGCTCAATCTGATACCCCCGAGATCCCGTACGATGTCTTGATGCATCGACTACAAGCTGCGGAGCGAGAGGCTGAGGATGCTGTTGCTCAACTGAGGGCCAGCAACTCGGAGTTTCTAACTCTACGAGAACGTGTTTCCTATGCTTCCGTCGAGCGAGCCCACCTCAAATCAACGATCGAGGGCCTCGATGAGCAGGTTAGTGCCAAAGCTTCACTCTTTCTCTGTCACACTGGCTAATTTCTTCTGGTGTTTTATAATTGATGTCTCAGCAGCTAAGCTGCTGGAACACCAGAATGTGCTTGTTAGCTGGACCCGAGCCTGTTTTCGATCAGCGTTGAGACGTCCATGATAATGTATCTCGTAACCTGCTGTTGCTTGTTTGAGATTACAAGTGATTTACGTCATTTAAGTGTGGTCACATACTTCTAAACATGGATTCAAGTTCACATAGACCTTTCTGCGGACTAAGTTGCTCCTTGCAAGAAAACCTCTCTGTGGAAGAGTACTGAATGCGCCACGATACCGGAGAGAGGGTTGGTAATGTAGTTGGTAATTGGGTTGCATTTTTAGTTTGATGCACTGACCAGTTTTGCTGCCGCCAGCTGTCCTGACACTGGAAGACAGCATATTTGACATAATTCCAGGAGATACTGTTCAAAAGGCTGGCGAAGCCAAATTTACGGGGTTTAATTAATGAACAATGGGTTGCAATGAAAACACGCGTGGCTGCACTGGATATAGCCGGAGTGTAGAAACCAGCGTGAAATGGCTGATCTGTCAAGTGTGACACTGTGATTTCGACCACCGTTGAGTAGAAAAATGCAGTGGCATACTGAACAACTCGTCAGGTTGTTCCAGCGAAGAGGAATTTCGAACGGCAAAAACACTCTCACGGAACTGAGGTGGAGAATGAGCAGTCTCCTCGGACGCAGTTAGACGTTGTAAGAATTTTGTAGTCCCAAAATCCGATATTTCCAATTTTTTCAGGACATCCAGGTCAGTCAGAACTTAAAGGTATGCCAATTGGGAAGGAGAATACTCAGTTAGTCCTTTCATGTGATCCAACGGAAAGGATCCAACTGTGTCGCGGTCCCGTTTGTCATGACTGCAGGAAAGCTTTAAAGTATTGGTCCTGCATCACAGCGTTTGATTTCTTAATGTCGGAGTTCAGAAACTCGCTACGACTGCATATTTGGAAGTTCAACTTTTGCTATTTACTAGTTTGTAAGACTCCAGCCATGTACCCTCATTCTTCCTCTTATACGAAGCAAAACAAGTTGATGTTATTCTACCTGTTTGTTTTGTCCTAGAGAAGCTTTCGCACGGCTTGACTGGAAGTTGTCTTCGAGCAGTCCCTATGAGTGTGGCTGTTTCTACTCCAAGGACACATTTATCCCATCAAGATTTGTTTTGCGTTTGGTCCAACTCGATCCCTTTCCCTTTTCCAGGTCTCCAGACTCGAATCCTGTTTATACGAGCGCACACAACAGTTAAATCAGTGCCGGGATGAATTGAATAAAGCCGCGGGGCGATATGTCATTCCTCTCGACACAGCACTCGGTGGTGTACATGTAAGCAAGACACTAAAGTACACGACTTTCAGTCGCGTCACAACCAGACTCAAATGCTTCCGGTACGTACATTTGTTTAATCTATAACGTGTCCATTTTGCAACGGGTTTCGTGGATATGCGCCGAAAACATAAATCCGGGTTGCATAACCAAGTGTGAATGTAAATGTTTACAACTGACAGTCTTTTACTTCACTGACTGCCGTTGCTAGACACGTCATGGTGTTTGGTAGTGCATTGATTTCTGTGTCTGCAGATTATCTGGAGCTCAAGATATTTTAGGGATTAAGGCATGAATTGTTTTCGTTCAGCTGTAGCACCCTTTCGGTGCCAAACTGCCATGTCATCTGAGGAAGCACGAGACAAGGTTACCCAAGCCTAGACAGGGGCAGTCGAGAGGCAGAGGTCTGATGCAAAACACGGGCTATCCGTTCAGTAAATCTGCGCTCTTGCCACTGAGCCATCTCGCGTGAGCTACTGATCGGATCGTCCGTGGTTTGAGTCCGATCTTGGGTTCGAGCAACCTTGTATAAGTTCGACCTTCATACTTCCTTCGGGATGCATGACAGCTGTAAACCGAAAGGATGCCACAACTGAACCATGCTCTCTATAGTTGTATATGGCCATCTACAAATTGCTGACAGAAACTCAATTTCGAGCGCTAACGAAATTTCCTATTTTACATGCAATCTTTCAGCTTATACGGAACGAACGTTTTTCCGAGTGGTGTATGAATTTCTCTTGCTCAGATCAGCTAATTTTTGTCGTTTGCTGCGCTGCCACGATGCAAGCGTGTTAGTTTTTATCGAACAGAGTTCATTGTCTAATGAGATATGTTTCACGACTTTCAGGGCGTGTTCGACCCCTGTTTCTACATCTCCGTACCAAACTTCTATCGTCCGCATTCTTGGTAGCTTTCTTAATTATTGTCGAAGAGAGGCGAATGGGCGCTTCTCACTATTTGTTATCATTAGGCGAAACCATGCTAATTAGGTCAAAAGAATCAGTGGGACGTAGGGGGGGATTTCGCTTTCCGTTTTATTTCAACTGAATTTTCAGTGACATACTAATGTGCATTAACATAACAATGGAGATTTTTGCGGTGGAACCGAGCAGACTATTAACACAAACGAAGTCTAATTATCACGTTTGGAGGAATGTATCCTGTGGTCTTGATGCTTGTGCTATTCGTCGAACGTCTCTCTCACATCCTTTTGTCTTAACTCGACCAAGGCCTTGTTAGAGCGACGGATGTGTTGGTCTAGATTTTTGTGTGGGACCCCCACAGAGAGTCATCCAAATCTTCCGTCGATGAGGTGTTTGCTTCTGATAAAAATGAGCAGTAAAAGCGCCTTCCCGACTTCTCTTGACACTGAAACCTCTAATTTATTGAAAGATATTACTCTTAAACTGACGCTAGTCCAATAGAGCTATATTTGTTCCCGTAAACTTCAGTTTATTTTGAGCTTATGACTTGGGCTTTCGCTTTGACACCGTTTGCTCATTTGAAATAGTTCACATCCGGTAAGAGAGAGATTACCATTAATAGCTGAGTTAGCTTTGAAGACGAAGGGAATGTGCACATGAGGACCACAATCGAATTGAAGCTGACGCAACCAATCAAGTTTCAAATCCCTTGCCTGGATAAGATCTGTGTTAGAGCACTGCTCTACAACTAAGCCTGTCGTGAACTGTGATAACCGACTGAAGTCTAGTTCGGATAACGGTGACACAGATACGCTCCATCATGTATTTTCTAGGTCCTCAAACACCCCAACCACATCATTGTAACTGTTGGTTGTTTAAATAACAATCGCGTAGTGTTCTGTGAGGTGTATAAGGTGTTCCTTCAACTGAAGGCTCGGAGATTGCGTGACTCATCTATGTTTCTCCATGCGCGAACGTAGTCAGCGATCTTTCCAATCAGCGTCTTTATCTTAGTGAGTGCGTGAAAGATCACCGGATAGACTGGGTAGACTGATGTGACGGTCTTGTAAGCGTTACTCTCTTATGCATCCAAGTGCCACGAATTCTTAATTTTGTTTGTTCTACTTAGGCGAAACCGTTGCCTAAAACATGGATATTACTCTGTTCAGCAACCTCACTTGGTCTCTCCATATGCGATCTGTTTTTCTGAAATTTGGTTTTTATTCCACCGCGCTACTAGAGTAAGGAATTTATGAGTCTCTTGCCCTATCCGCTGATTTCTTTTTGCACATGTTCTCCTTCATCGGACCTACTTTTCACCCCACAATTGTTCACTCAACAACCAATTCAACGTTTGTTCAAAATTCGTGTAAGAGATGCTGACGGGCGTCCAACACTCTGTATCCGGCATTATCCACGTCCATATGAACGCCATGCGCACGTTCACAGTCTAGACTTTTTCCCAACTGGAACTACTACTCACGCGACACCGTATTCCCCATTTTGGTGCACCGCAGACCTAAACATTGTCTTCTTATCTGGACCGCCCATTTTACTTCCTTTTTCCGTCACTGACGCGAAAACCACTGCATGTACTGAAACCGTCCAAGTATATAAGCTGTATACTAGAAAAATGTGTTTACCAGGCTGTGTAAGGCCTTTCTCAACATGATTCGAATCCGTGTAGAGCCTATCAGTTCTTCAAACTGTGAGAACTGCGGACGAATAATTGTTTAGTCACTTGACTGAACTTGGAAAGAAATGACGCTGATTTGCTGATAATTCGGTCAAATATCTTTGCTCCGATGAGTGGATTTTTAAATTTCAGCCATGGTTTCATCCCGTAAACGAAATCAGTCGATGTGTGTAGACTTATTATGCACTGTCTTATTTTGTAAGCACGTTATATTCGATCCAATGCCCTTTGCATGTCTGAGAGGAACGTGGATCAAGCTATCAACCAAACCAAAACGAATCGATTGATATTGAGCGATTTTGTAGTACCAGAGTCTCTGTTGTCGATTCTTTAACGTGGCTGTGGGTTGATGAATCTCGGTCCGGTGTAAGGGCTATTACCACTGTGTTTTCCTCTTCCGGTGACCAAGATTATAATTAAAAGGGGAGAGCACAGAGTTAAAAACGTTTGCTTATTTGTTGTCTTGGGCTACGCGCCCTCTAATTACAGCTCTGGAGCGATCAGAGGGGAGTTGATGTCCAATCTACCAACTCCCTATCGAGCGCCAGAGACCGACGATCTGTTGACCTCGGGTCTGAATTCACGAGTCCATCGTTTTAGTTCAGTAGAGCTTCACCTCAATGGTTCCCATTATTTAGCTCGGATAGAATCAAAATGACTCTTTCCTAGCCAGTGTAAAGGTGAGACATGGTTTTTGCTACCAGGTTATCTGGACTTCAGTCACTCAACAGTGGATCTCAACTGGCCATAGCGCCATCAGTAATCGAGGGGAAAGCTGCGCTCAAGCCCACCGGTCATACTGGATTGCCGGATTGGACTGAGTAGTACCATGATCTGCACGAAGCTGACGATAAGCTTCTGTTGTAGGGCGGTCATAGTGTTTTTGTGTGAACAAGCTGAGAGAGCTAACTGGTTCAGAGACTTTTGGATAGCGTTTGGTGGCAAAACTGGGCAAGCAGACATCCAGTAGCATAGACCAGTACTGGTCCTCTGTTCAATATGGTATGAAACGTGTTGCAGTTAGCTTTTCTGGATACACCAGCCGTTAGAAAACACCGCGGATGTCAACTGAATTACTACGTTTAATAGGGTTAAGATATTCTGCACCGACTGAGTTTACCTACAACTTCGAAGAAAAACAATCAGGCACTATAAATTTGTAGAAAGACAGAAAAGTGGTTTGGCAAGCACACTGAGAGGTTGAAAGGATCTTGGGCTAATGGCCTGACAGCGTCTTGTCGATGAACACCTCAACTCTCCAATCTCATCCAGTGCTCATCATGATCTGCCTCCTTTCATGCATTCATGTGCTCTCTTCCAGTCGGTGCCCACTTCAGTAGAAAGAGTACTACGAAGCAACCGATCACCTGGTATATGAAGCAGGGAACTGAGCCAATGTAGCTAATGCAGTCGTATCCGGATGGATCTGATTCAACTAACTCGACGTCATCGGGATTTTCCAAGTCCTCAATATCTTCTGTCGGAAGAAATTCCACCATGGGAGTAGCATATACATACCTGGGGGTTCTTGGATAATCTTTTCAATTACGAATTCGAAAAATGAAGATGGAGTATTAAAATCCGTAAACTTTTTCATCCTGAAAAATGCGGAATGTTCTTCATAAAAGGAGTCTTTTTCAGTGCTGCAGTTTATTGAAGCATGTGCAGAAATAACGAATAGTTTTGAAAGACCCGACTTGTCTGACCACCCATAATCAAAAATCCAGTCGCCCCTGGTAATGAAGTACTCATAAGAGTAGTATATAATCGTTCAAATATATAAATCTTCTGAGCCTGAATGGACACACCTGCCAATAGGGTATAAAGCAATCGAACAGGTTGTCTTCAATTACCGGGGTTCGACATTCATATCCAATTGGCAGGCGAGAAAAAATTCAATGGTATACTAATGGTGTCCGGTATATCCTTGTGTAGATCAACATCGTCATTTTTGGGAGGGAGGAGAACTGAGACTAGTGTATCCACGAAAATGCGAGTCTCCGACGTCGTCATCCCCTGAGCCCTAATTTTTTATTGAGAAGCGTGCTCCTTGCGGTTAGTTGATACATGAATACCATGGGGTTTTGATCACCGGTGCTTCCAGTGTGTACTTAGAATCCACTATCTAATAGGTATCCAGGGGAACGCTGTCACAGCTTACCATCTCACCGGCTTTGTCGATGAGGCAGCAGTGGGTTGAGCATCTGTTATGTGTCAATGAATCCGATCCACTACACCATGACGGCATTGTTGCCTCAGAGGACAACCGGAAGCTGGGTTCAGCGCATGAAAACGTGATATGAATCAGCCTTATTTCCATACGATCTAGGGAGCCCTCCACTGGATTTGTGTAGATCTGGTTGCCGATCGCTGTGCGGTTACAGCGTCTGTCCGATATATTTTTGAAGTCGACCTGTCCTGTCTCACGGGATAGTCGCTG